TTTTCCAATGTTTTTTTTCTTCATATGTACATCAGCTCCCTGCCTGTTCCTCCTTGTCCTTCAATGCCCCAGTCTATCCTGGATCACAGTAAAAGAAGCCCCAGCATTGCACTCTTTCAGTTCATCCCTAAGCATCTCAGTGTGGATGCAAGCTATCATTGCACTTAATGTCATCCAGGATTTGCTTGGTAAAAAAAAAAATCTTTATTACAGTCCATATAAAATCCATACCCTGCACCTGGCTGAGAAGTCTCAATCTGTATTCAAATGGATTTTTGAAGTTTTGATAGAAGGCACACATATCTTCTGACTCATTTTGAGGCATGAAAGCCTTACTCAGCTAGAACTGAGAGGAACGTAAAGGGATGTAATGCGGTTTCCCATAGTTGGAGTGGGAAGGAGATTGTGCTGTGATAGGAAATGATGCCCCCTGTTGCTGTTACACTTTGTGACTTCATGCCTGGATTCTGATGCAATGTAAAGACTGTTGATGGAAACACTTATTTCTTGGTCGGTCAGTGCATTGGTGAAATAAATGACCAGTGTTTCAGCTCCTAAAACCCCTCATAGCCCCAGTGAGGAGCTGCCCTGGACATTCCTGCTGGGATGGCAGCACAGCCTGTCTGATCTCGTAGCTGGTTAGCAGCTGAGCATTGTAAGGAGTGGTACTGAGAGAACGTGGCACAAGTAGAAAGTGTGGAACTGCTTTCTAAGAGGAGAGCAGTCACAAGCAAAGGCTTTCTCTTCTGCTCTTCTCTATTTTCCTTATTACTTTAATTTGGTATTTATAAATTAAAGGAGTGCATTTTTGTATAATATTCATGAATGTTGCTGAGTCACTTTATTGACTAAGGAATATGTCTTTTCACTTAGGAAAATGACTACATTAACTCCTACTTCGACAATGGAGATGATTTTTATGCAGACAGCGATGACAATATGGATGAAGCAACCTACTAGCCATGGAATTTCTCTCTCTCTTTTTTTGGTGCAGCTCTGAGGATTTGTACTGACTTACTTTATTTCTGATACAGATTAAGTCCATATTTTCTGTTGTTCAGTGTTTGGTTTGATAAATTCTTATCAAGCTCTTCAGAAGCACTGTGCGTTTACACCGCGACCTTACCCCAGCACCTCCACCGCTCCTCTGATTATGTACTGAAGTTTGGGGTTCTTTGGTCTTTGTTTTATTTGGATTTGAATGTGCCTGAAGAGCTTTAGCGTCGCTCAGTCCATGTGTTCATACTTGAAAAAGATCAGTCTTGCTTACCTGCTGACCTCTGGTGAAGCTGTTACTAGTCAGAGTGGATTTCTATTGATACTGCACAAGGAGCACTTTAAACACAAACTGGAAAATGATTTCTCTTACCCGGTATGTTCTGTTTTATCACATGGTGACTGCATACTCCCCTGAGTTCTTAACAAGTGCAGACTCAGGAGATGAGAGTTCTGGTGGTGGGAAACATGCCCATGGCAAAACACAGTGATCCAGGTGAAATAGCATTGTTTCCATCTCAGCCGAACGGAGGCTTTCACGTGGGCGAAAGGATTCAGAACGCTTGGCTTTGGAGGTAATTCCATGTGAATTAATCATTACACTGTGTTAAGTCTGACATCTTCAATTTTGGGGGTTTATGGAAAAAATAACTGAGACATATGGTTTAATTCTCTGCTTTATGGAAGTGGAAATAAGTTCTGGCTGAATAAACTCGGTGACAGAAGCCGTCTGTGAATGGAGAAGGGCAGTGCCCTTGGCTTCATTTCACAAGATCCGGAGACTGCAAGTCAAGGATAGAATCATGGGAAATGAACTCAGGTCATTTTGAAATTACAATTGATTCTTCTTGTTGTAACTTACAGGGTGACTCCCCTGTAGTTTTATATTTTGCAGAAGATATCCAGAACCCTTCACCTCTAACGACTTTGAACATGCCAAAGATTTCTAAGGAAATGTATATCATACATTTCAAAACTAATATCTTAAAATTATCTACTTAAAGGAAGAAACCCTGCTCTCCGCTTTGGGGAGCTTTGTCATTTATTACCTTCTGACCTGGAAACTGGAGCCCTGCTTTTTCTCTCAGGATCAAGATAACCTTGAAATTGAGCTTAAGTTCATGTGCCTTAGTTTCTCCACTTGTAAGCAGTTTCCTATAAAAATTGTTTAAACACTAAGTAGAGTTTACTAAATATTCCATCTTTTACCTTACAGAAACAATCATGCCCTAAATTTGATTTTTACCCTGTAAACAACTTTACTGTGGAAAGTGACATAGTTGTGAGAACCATTTTCCTGCCACATTATAATTCAATTTTCTGATCTTGTATCCATGTTAGAAACTGTAGTTAACTTGTACAGTCTGGAGAGATTCCAACCTTTTCTCAGGAGAAAAATCACTTTAAATGGCAATACTTCAACTATTTCTTCCAGATGGGTGTGATGGCCCATATCGTGTCTGTATAATGCTGTACTGAACATGTGTGACTTGCATCCAGTTCCCAGGAACTTGTAAAAAATATTTTAAGATTCTAAGTGGAAACATGAAAAATTTTTAATGATTCAGTGTGTTGGGAACACGCTTTTAATAGTGCTGGCAAATGCTGTTATTTGGGAACGACAGGTACTTTATTCTCTTACATTTGGTACCAGAGCCAAACGGATTTCATAGATGCTCCTTCCTTTATTACAAATCTGCAAATAACTGTTCAAATTCGAGAGATGCATTGGCAATGACTTCTTCCTTGCTTCCGGTTTGTCTTCACCGCTGTTTCTTCTGTGGGAAGCCCCTTTTGGACAGGACTTATTCTGGGCATCTGGAATCTTTAGCGATGTTGTCACCCTTTGGAAGATCAGTTTACAACTTTAAATATACTAATTTTGAGAAAAGATATTTTTTAGGTTGCTTGACTAACATAAGTCTTGTTTTCTTGGCTTAAGCTTTGAGACTGTGAAATTGCTTTAGAGATAAATTCTTAATGGTTAAAGTACTTACTGGAACTAGTTGAAATATCTTAACAAATAAAACTATTTGCTACAATGCTGATTTTTCTGTATTTGTTTATACATATAAAGCTTAAGAAAATAAAATATAGACCTTAATACTAAGATGGTTTACAGTGAACATTTATTTGGTAGAGAAAACTAGTTAATTATGGGGTTTTTTTTTCTGCTAAAGTAACTTCATTTATTGAGCAGGGATGGTTGTTGAATAAACCCAACCACATACAACCAAATTCTTGCCTCTGATTTAGCAGGACGTGTGTGTTCATTGTTAGCACCAAAGGATTGCAGTCCCTCTGTCCATCCGCATCTTCAAGTGACAAGTGTCAGAGGGATTGTAAAACAACTTTTAAGGTCACATTGCTGTAAAATAGAAACACACAGGAAAGATAAGTTTCCCTGGAAGAATTTCCTCAATTTTTTATATGCATGTATGTATACTTTGTGTATGTGATATGCATCTAAGTGTTCATATGTGTGCAAGTCTGTTTGCAGGCCAAAGGCTAGGTAGTCTTCCTCTTCATTTTGAGGGATCACCAATCCCACTGAGTTGTCTGGCCAGTGAGCCCAAGGGATCTTCCTGTCCCTGCCTCCCCTGCACTAGGATCACAGGAGTGCCTTTTTAAACATGAGTGCTAGGGATCTGAACTCTTATCGTGTGCAGCAAGCACTTTACTGACTGAGCATTCTCCCGAGTCCCTAAGATTTATATTCCTGAAAGGCATTTTTGTATATAAAACATTACAATTTATGTAGCGAGCACGTCCTGAGACTGACGTAGCTCTATAAGCATGGCCTGGACTTACCAAGTCTTACTTACCAGGAACACAATCCCCATCATCATTTATCTAACACTTGTTTTGTGTTCTACAAATAACCCAGTGGGAAATCTGAATTCATAAATGTGTGACAACTTGATCTTATACCCAGCTGTGAACTCCACTGAGTACAACAAAGACTGCCCTGGCAGGACATATCCATTAGTGAAATAGTGGCACAAGCATTATAGAAGTAACCAGTTACTTTATAGTTAGATTTCAGCCCTGTTCCACTCACACGTGGCACCATTATTGAGCTAAAAACCTCCTATTAGACACAACATAGATCCTAAGGAAAACCTACTATTAGGCTTATAAATATTAGACTCATAATGATTCAAAACTCATCTGAAAAAGCTAACTCGCAGTAAATGGTGATTGACTGACCAAAGGACAGAGACTTAGAGACTGTTGTACACACCTTCCTCCCAAGGCTAAAGGATCACTGAAGAGAAGGTGGAAAGATTCTAACAGGCAGAGACAGTAGATAACCACTTGGAAACATCTGGACAGAGCAGTGTAGCTGCACCTATGAATTGTTGGGACAGCATGTACAAGACGTGCAAGCTCCAGGCAGATCAAATCCTAGCATGACAAGGAAAGCTGGGCACACAATCTCACTTCCAGCCATGGAGCACATGGGAAATGACAGCAGCTTAGAGGAGGCAGTTTCTTGTTAGTGTATCTCATGGTAAGTGCTTTCCACCATGCTCAGTGGAAAGCACACATCTAAGAGTATTTGGGGCAGCAAATTGGCCTTAATGTGTGTGTGTGTGTGTATTAAAGGACACAATGGTGGGTATATAGGAAGAGGTAGATCTGGGAAGAGTTGGAGGTATGTGTGAATACAAACACATACATAACTTGAAACTCTTAAAGAACTAATGTGAAAAAATGGATTCCAAGGGACTGGAGAGATGGCTCAGGGCTTAAGAGCACTTGCTGCTCTTGCAGAGGACCCAAGTTCAGTGTCCACTACTCATAATTGTTCACAGACATCTGTAACTCCAGTGCTAGAGACTTGACACCCTTCTGGAAGGCACACATGAGGTATGCAGACAAAAGCCCATACATGTGAGTTCAAACATTAAAAACATTTTTGAAAATGTATTTCAAGTAGCTTGAAAGAAAATTAAATATTTGTTTTATTCAATTACATTCAACAACTTCCACATTCAAACTGATTAATAAAATAGAAACTTTATTAACATTTTGCATATCCTTATGAAAAGGCAAAAAGTTTAAAAACCAGTTTTACAGATATACATGCTACAATGGTTTAATACATTTGCAATTATATAAAACACATTATATAAAGGATTTATAGCTTTTGCATACATAAAATGAATTAAATAAAGCATTCATATATTTCTATGATCTAACAGTGCAATATGCACATACTTAGAAATACTGATTTCCTGAGCAACAATGTTGTAATTCAAAAATCATAGTCCCATGATAATGCAGTGTTTAAATAACTCAATCCTATTCTAGCACTGAGAGTGGATCTCTGCTTCCTTTTCTTGCCACAGCCTTCACATTTCCAGTGAGATATAATCAGTTACTAAAGAGTGGTTCACCACCAAAAAGCACAGTCCAGAAAAAAGTTAACACTCAAACTCCACTGGAAAAAAAACTTGAGATTGCACGCTCCTTCCTAATCTGTAACAAGGCCAGCAGACCATAATTTTATTTTGCAGAGAGGATAGTGAAGATATTTAAGTAGCTATCCATTGGTTCAAAACAAACTCTAACTAGTGTTTAACGAGTCAAGAATTTGACCTAATATCAGGTTTTTCTTTACTTGCAATTCCAAATTTTTAAGCAAACTGATATTAATGACTATGACTCAGTTGTTTGTAACTGTACACACACGCACACACACACACGCATGTTAAAGCCTCAAAGCAAATTAAGGGCTCAAGTAAGGGCTTGAACATGATCCATAGCATCAATGACATTTGTGCTTATGTTGTCTAGAGTACAATGAGTTTGCAGTTGTCAAAAAATTGCATACACTTGCAAATGTGTATTTAATATAGTTTCAAAAATTCTACTAAATGCTTAAATTTTTTTTCTTTTGAAGATAAAAGCATAATTCTACATAAAGAATTATATTCAATTAGTAATACTAAAATATATAGGAAAAGAAAATTGGTTGGTTGTTTCCTAAGGATGTGTGTTGTAGTTCCTTCGAAATGGATGTTCAAGGCAGACATGATTGTAACCAACATCTCCTCCGTTAAACACAATTCTCAAACCCCGGATCACAACTCCAAAGTAAAATCAGCAAGACAGAATCGCCAACTCTGTGATTTTATGTTTGATGTAAACAAAGTTCTTCGGAGGTTATGTAGCCTGTGCTGCCCTGAAGTCTTCATTTTCTACCCTAAAATTTAATTTTTCAGTAGGCTTAATAAATATTATGTAAACTGTCTGTGTTAACACTGGGCATAATTAAAGATTGTGCTCATTTCAAAATGCACATGACATGTTAAGACAAAAATTATTTTAACTAAGATATATGAAGGGAATCAATTTACTACAACTTTCCTATTATTAAATACTTTAAAGGTAATTTTCTAAACTCTCATATATGTAAGGGTTTTAAAATGGCTGACTTTTGCGTCTTTTTGTAGTGCTTTTTCTTCTCAAAGTATATAACCTGCCCCCAGTATTAATAAATATGTATTAATAATTCCCTGAATCAGGATTGGAATTTGATATACAAAATGTTTAAAAGCTGAAACATTTAGGAAATAATGTCCAGAAAGTGAGATGATAAAACATATCTTAAGATATGCAGTTTATTATACAGAAAACATGCAATCCAGATTCTACCACCTGTACTTATATTTTAAAGACACATATTTAAAATTAAACACTGAAATCAGTTTACAGATGCTTCCTGACCAAATTGGCTGTATCACAGTTGAATTAGAAAAGGTCACTATTAAGCCCTTTTGATTAACCAACACAACTTTGACCTGTGTTTCTCATTTTGAGGGTGCATATTAGGTGGGGATAATCTAAACTGGACATTTTCTTTTTGAAAAGCAGAGGTCAAGGAACCACACATAAAGTAATCTATCTCCTGCTAATGTAAAAGTCCTGTTTATTCATTTTTGCTTAATCAGTCATGTTTTTCTGCATGACTTCAGAGGCAGATAGTAGCAATTTGTTTGACTCCATTAACTTATGCTTAAAGGTGAAGACAGACAAATGTACAGAGCCTATGGAATGAAATCTGACAGTGTTTCCACTTTGACTGTAAAGTGTTATGAACTCATGTAAGGTGACACTGTAAGGCACTACGTGTCATTAAGGCATGTTACTATTTGTACCAGCGGTGATTGGTCACAGTGTATAAAGAGCAACTTGCTGAGTATGCTTTTCTGTCTGCACAGTGCTTCTAAGTATCAGACACATATAGTTTTACTAAGTGGGAGTGAGGTTAGAGGGCTGTTCCTAGAGCATCCTTTCCATGGACTGGGTCCTGACTACTTCAGTGCCTTGTGATCAAATCAAATGGTTACATTTTCAACCCAAAGACATTATGGTGGGGTCTTAATATATTTAAAATTTGTTAGCCTCTATTACAGGAATTATAAATTATGTTTCCATATCTGTTTCTACATCTGCTTTATAGCATGTGTTAAAACATGTTTTTAAATTTCAAAATTGAGTATTGAGTACATGTTATCATAAATAATTTTAGAATCAAACTTTTACAAGTTTTTTGGTGGTATGGTGGTGAATTTTCTTCAGTTATAAGCATTTGAAACACTTGACATGAACAACCTTAAATTAAAAAATCTTTTAAAAAATAAATTTAAACATAACTAATCTTGAAAAAGAAAAATGACAGCATCTTCTAAGTTATAATTCCTAGGAATACATTTAAATTAATACATTTAAATTAATTTCTGCTTTAAGAACTGACACAGCAGATGTATTCTGACCACTCTCAACATGAAGCAATCGTGTGTGTTACAGACAGTCCATCTGTAAAAGGCTCAGGGACTCCTAGGAAGGTCAGAACAAGGCATCTTCCATGTTCCTGGAGTCTGTCTGAGAGGCTGTTGTTGGTATCTCTGAACCACCGCATTCCATATGCACACATGATCATCGCACCGAGCAGGCTCACTGCTATGTTTTGTGCTGAGCAGCAGGGGACTGAGAATGTTGCCTGTACAGTTTGTGGTCATCTTGTTGACCAGCACGGATTCCTTTTGTTGGAACAAGTCCATTTCCCGTTTCTCTGTGCTGCGATGGAGGCGTGAGTCCTGGATGCAAATGTGAAGAGCCCACTGTTGAGTGGTGACTAACATCCACTTTAGCTAAAATTTCATAATAAAGCAAATAAAATACTGGTGTTATTATACCCACTATCAACATTATCACTACCGCTGTCCACCAGCCAATTCCCCAGTCGGCTCCATAGTATGGGTCCTTTCTGTGAGTGCTTCTGCTGTCCGGCTCAAAGCGGACCTGTTGTGCTGCTAAGGCAGACACTACCTCGTTCAGGTTCTCCTTCTTGGTGTCTGTGCACTTTACCAGTTCTTCTATGTCTCGATCCACCTCTTTCAGGAAACTGCCAGCTGACCCGCTGGAGGAGAGAGAGTCCTCCGTGGGCACAGGGTCCTGCTCCTGAGCAAATGCAACGGCTGGGGGATGAGAACCTTGTCTTCCTTTCAGAGGATGAAGACTTTCAGTCAAAGAACTAAACTTTTTCACTGGAATTTTGATAGACCTAAGGGCAAAAAAGTCTTGATCACTGATGAGATTGTTAACTCTTTTGATATCTGCTACCTGCAAAAAAGAAAAACACAACATTCAACTGAATTCTAAAACTAGACCTAAAATCTTCATTTACTCTGGAGGGAAAAATCACTGAATTTCATTTTTACTGTTAATACTGGCCCCACACCTACATTTTACATTTACTTGTATATGAGAAGTCTAAACACTAAATTTATTTAGTGTTAGGAAATCACCAGCGATTTTGTATTGTCACCTAGACAGCAGTAACGTTACTTATACGTTATGTCGTTCTTCTTTGCACGTCATACAATCTGCCACAGGAAATGTATGTTGGCATGCATTTGTGAATGTTTGTCTCCAATCTTGCAATTGCAGGAAAGCACATGAACTTACACAGATAAAAGGAGCACATTTTACTAAAATGCCATCAGCACCACTGTGCCCCGTGATTCTAGTTCTCTCTCAGCGGGGAAACTGCACCAAACAGAAGAAAGGGATCTTTTTACCACTCTAGTTGGTGCCGTGAACCTAGGAGAGCAGGGCCTAAAATGAGGCAGTCTAAAGTCTCATTCAATAGCCAACTTTATTCGGAGACCTAAGTAATGTACACAATCACAAGAATAAGCTATACAGGGCAGAAGCATGTTTCTCCATAGCAGCATATGAACAGCAGCTAAAGTAAACTCACTCCTACTACACCTGGGAAGAGCACAGAAATGTTCCAACAACAGTTCCACGTTTTGAAGGAAACGAGGTCACAAGACTCTTGTTTTCTCAGAGTATTCTCATGGCACTGAGAATTCGCCATCTGGACCACCCTGTGCTACTTTGAGAGATGTTGAGATGGAGATGTGCTAATGTTCAATATGCACTTCACCCACTCTCCTGTCTGCAGTGATTGTCTGCTGGATCCATCAGTGCAAATACATTAGGCAATTACTCCAACGTCAGGTTCAGTTTCCTTACATACATTCTATATTCTCACCGTCCCATGCCACTCTGAAGGGGAGAAAGGGTGGTTGTTTCTCAGATTACCAATTAGTCAAGTTTTCTCCCTGCCTTTGAGTTATTAGTTCTATGAGCTATATTTTAGTCAATACCTCAAGCTCTTACCCTGTGCTACCCAACTAACGTCAGAGTAGTAGACTGTGTCTAGGGGAACTTTGTTCTGCTCAGCTCCTTGCGAGATGATGACACTCAGTGATACAGTACAGTGATATATTTTGTTTGTGATCTAAGAAATAAAGTTTGCCTGATGATCCGAGTGCAAGGCTAGTCACATTAGACCAAGTAGTGGTGGCACACACCTTTAATCACAGGAGCTACACTAGTTAGTGACAGAGGCTGGGTGGTGGTGGTGCATGCCTTTAATCCCAGCACTAGAGAGGAATGTAAGGCAGGATGAGACAGAAACTCGCTCTCTTTCAGTCTGAAGATTTCACAGAGTCTCAGTTTTCTGCAGTGAACCATGAGCATACCTAACAGCAGCCTTTGAAGTCTCCATAAGGAGGATGGGACCTCACAATGACTATTCCTCCAGGACTAGAACAGCACTGAGCTGAAAAACCCCAGCTAAAGATCGGCTCTTGAACTACAAACAGCTCAGAACAATTCCAAGGTGGCTGGCTGAGATGATGCAGCCTCAGAGACTACTTGAGTCAGGACTTGAGACAAGTCCTACACTTTCCTATTTCATAGAAAATGGACAACAAATGATATAGCTACCTCTTCCAGGACTTGACAATTAGCTCAAATTTTTCTTTTCAGAACCCTGTAAAAATACTGTCGCCTCCAGACAGAAGAAAGTAAATTTAAGAATATGACCCCCCACATTCCCAAGAGGTAGGGTGGGTGGTTTTTGGTTGTTCGATGGGTTATGGATGTTTGTCATTGTTTAGGTGGGTGGGTTACAAATTGTTACTGGTTATAGTCAGGAAGAAATCTGACGAAAGGAGATTAGATTCAGAGTTCTTGTTTTTTTTAAAAAAGGGGGAGAACATAGATTATATGATTAAAAAGGTAGATTATTGTATTTACTTTTAAAAAGCAACTACTAGCCGGGCGCGGTGGTGCACGCCTGTAGTCCCAGCTACTCGGGAGGCTGAGACAGGAGGATGGCTTGAGTCCAGGAGTTCTGGGCTATAGTGCGCTATGCCGATCGGGTGTCCGCACTAAGTTCGGCATCAATATGGTGACCTCCCGGGAGCGGGGGACCACCAGGTTGCCTAAGGAGGGGTGAACCGGCCCAGGTCGGAAACGGAGCAGGTCAAAACTCCCGTGCTGATCAGTAGTGGGATCGCGCCTGTGAATAGCCACTGCACTCCAGCCTGGGCAACATAGCGAGACCCCGTCTCTTAAAAATAAATAAATAAATAAATAAATAAATAAATAAATAAATAAATAAATAAATAAAAAAGAATAAAAAGCAACTACTAGTTTTAAATATGTTACATTGGATTAGATTTTGTATGTATTGATACAAACCTGACATTAATTCTGTTAAAACATACTGTATGTGTGTTTCCAATCTTATCTGAGGGATTGCGCCTATACAGCTCATTTAACAAGGTAGTGCAAAGCTCTAGTTCTTGAAAGTTATTATTACCAACTGTTTAGGATAATAAGGAACTGCAGGTTAATAATTAGTCACATATTACATATTACTTGTAATCATATTAGGTATGTTCTCAAGGTCAAACAGAGATATATTTTAGATACACAGGTTATCTTCAAATACTTCAGAGATCTACAGACTGTGGCATTTAAGATGTTTTAATAAGATATGCTTTTTTATGATAATGAAACATGTCTGCTCCTGGAAGCATAATCTAATTCAGAGAAGATAATGAGTATTGAAGAGACTCCACATGGAGTTTACTTTCTTTGTGAAAAAAGTAAGTCACTGGGAAAGAACATGCCCTTGCCTTAACTGCTGGCAGTATGCTGTCCTAACTGGACATGCAGGACACAAAACAGAGTGACTGCCAAACCTTGTCAAGACGAGGCAGGAAAGTCCTACAAAAATCCTGCTTCACAGAAAAGTCTGTTGGATATGCTAGGCCTGTAGGCTGAAGATGGACGCCCCAACATTGCAGAGGAATTTAGGGTGACTGTCCAAGCAGCCAGCTATTTCTGTCATTTCTCCCATGTTTTGCACCTCCTACTTACTCAGTTAATATTATTTTCTTTTAGGAGGTAGGCGAAGACTAGAAGGTTACAATTTTCCTTGTTTACGAGACTTAGAAAAGAAATTCACTAAAGAAATGTAAAGTATACAGTTGGGAGATATCAAAAGATAGTTTTGGGTGGCAATGCAAGTTATGATAGAAAGTAAATTGGGTACAAGACTTTGGATTCACCATGATAGGACAGATAATGGTATATTTTCTCTGAATTTGTCAAATCAAATGGACTAGACATTGTTGATGTGCTTACTGCCTATATGTAACTACTGTAGTTACTGTATACAGTTTTTCTTATATTAGTTATAACCTTTTTTATATTAGACAAAAAAGGGAAATATAATGATATTTTAAGATCTAACAAACAAAGTTTGCCTGAAAATTAGAGTGCAAAGCTAGCCATACTTGTCAGCATAGAGGCCAGGCAGTGGTGGTTCATGCCTTTAATACCAGCACTAGAGGGGAATATAAGGTAGGATGAAACAGGAACTTGCTTTCTTTTCAGTCTAAAGATTTCGCAGAGGTAAGAGCTCTCTAGTGGTTGGCTGAGTTGCTTCTCTGATCTTCAGTTTGAACCTCAATATCTGTCTCTTGGTTTTTATTATTTGTGCTACAATAAAGAGCCCAGTGGAAAGTGGGAAAGGTGCACATAGATTTTAGATACAGTGGCTTTTAGGTTCCTGAGATGTGAATGATCTTCAGCAGAGGTAGACAGATGTCTGAAACTCAAATGAGGGGATGTGAAACTTGGATAGAGTCACTAGAGAATGTTATGGGGAAAGCTGAGAGAATGCCCGTCACAACACCAGCATCTGCGGGACATGTAAGAGAATTGAGCAAAGCATGCTCAGGAAGGCAGTATCGCACGGTGGCCAAAACCACACATCTGTGAAGCACACTGTCACTTCTTAGCTGTGTGTTAGGGTGAGTAACCTTTCTGCTACTCCATTTGCATGCCTGTAAAATGCCAGTAGTGATACTCCCTACCATAGGAGGCTGCTGTGAATACCAATGGACTCAAATATGTAAGACTACCTGGAGTACTCATCTACACCACATAATATGATGCTAGCTTTTATTGATTACTACTTAGCATCAAAAATAGATCCCATAAAAAACCTTATTAATCTTTAAAACTAAAGCTATAACTTATTTTGATGTACTATGAATGACTAGATTAATTATTTTATCCTGGAAAAAAAATTACACAGAATCTCATGGCCAAAGAAGTTGTTTTCAATACTATTTAAAAAACACGTACATACATAGATACAGCAAATGTGTAAAAATGTACGTTCTTATACACACCTGTAAAGAGATTCCAAGTATAAAAATATTTTATATTATGAAAAATTCTATAGATGAGAATACTAAAAGAGAAGAAAGAATGATACAGAATTTCACTTTATTAAAATGAGCTCTCATGGTATTTGTTAAAACAAAAACAGTGCTGTAGGGGGCGGGGGGTTAAATGCGTGTGCTGATCTTGCACAGGATCTAGGTTTGGTTCCCAGCACCCACATCAGGCAGTTTACAACCACCTGTAACTCCAGCTCAGGAGAACCAATGCCCTCCTCTAGCTGCCAATGAGGTAAGTCTCTACTGTTATAAACGGTGCCCAAGACACGGAAGATGCAAGTTGCAGTCATTCACAGCATATGTCTATTTTAAAAACAAAATACATCAATCCTTTATCAGCCCCTAAATACTTATCTATATAAATAATAACAAGCACAAAAAAAAAGGTAGAGAAAAACACCAAAGTGACAGACTGAATTAGCAGAAATTCAAGCATCCACTTAAAATGTTAAAAAGGTCACATTCATAGGCATGAGAGATCTCTGTGCAAAGACAACTGAGCAAAAAGGAAAGGAAGAAGGTAAAGGACACAGAATTCCCCCAGTTCTGGTTGGACTACTAAACAATTGATTCTGGGCTCTATTATGCAAGGATAAATTAAATGAAGACTTACTGTGCAGCAATACTGAAGGGCGACTGCATTTAGAGTGTCCCCTTCCTGTATATCTCTTGTTAATAGAATGATGTCATCAAGTCTGTCTCGCGATGTGCTTCTTCGAACCTTCTCCTTTCCTCTGGACCGAAGTTCATACACTTCAGCATCTTCTTCCAACACATCATTGTCTGTACAATTCCCAAAAGTATGTAGCTGGCCACTGGCCTGAATTCCTGGGAGGGAAACACTTCGATTCTGATTCCTCCCCGCCATGATCTTACAATCTGGAGGAAGAAAAGCCAGAACCTTAGCATGCCACTGACCCGTGTGACTGGTTGACATGACACTATTTCTCGTAGTCCTTTTACTAGTTACACAGGAACTGAGGTCCACGTTCTGTACCTGCGGACCCACGCGTCCTGCAGCCTGACAGTGGGGGCAACAGTGGCAAGAGGACAGCTAATGCGAGGCTCACACCATCTGCTCGGGAGTCTTGTTCACCCAAGACACTTTACACAACAACATTTACAGACAATAATCAAGATTTCATTTAAAAACTATTATTTGGTACACATAGAATTCTAGCATTTGTTAAAGACAAAAGTAAATCTGAATACTGAGATGTTCTTGTGCTTGTTCCTTTCTGCACCACGAACTCAATCTGTCTTGTCTACTGAGTCGGCTCTATGGCTAAAGGTGCTTGCTGTCAGGCCTCACTACCAAGTTCACCTCTGGAACCCTGCAGTACAAGGAAAGAAAAGTCCACAAATTCTCCTTTGACTGACCTCCAAATCCATGATGTGTAAAAAAAAATTTCAAACATCAATATTGTCTGAATTTTTGGTACTGTAAAAACATAGAGAATTTTCAACCTTTTTCAGAGTTGATCACTGAAATGATTTAGAGTTGCCAGGGCTGATAATGTTGCTTCACTTAAATATTAGCACAAAATGTCATATGTTATGGCCATTTCAGAAATTGTTCAAAATCTCAAGCCAAATTCATTTAACAATTTCTCATAAAACCCAAGTCAGCAACTCTAAGAGAAGTCGTTTTTTATTAATTAGTTAATCTATTTATTGAATGTGTGTGCTGCCATAATGTCAGAGACAACTCGGGGTACCTGGTTCTCTCCTTCCACCATGTGGGCTCTGGAGACTGCTATCAGTTCTCCAGGGTTGGCAGCAGGTACCCCAAACACTAAGTCATTTTGCCAGTCCTCTAAAAGCAATTTTTCAACCTAGCATCATAATAAAATACTATCCAAAATTATTAATTAGATGCTTACATGCTGAGACATGTCAGTAGAAAAATGTTAAACACCTTTGTTCTGTAACGGAAGCATTACGTTTCTTGGAGTGGGATGTTTCCAGAGCTGTTGCCATGGAATCTGATGGCAAACAAAGTGCACATGTGCAGAACCAGGGCTGCCTGCAATGATGTGGTGAGCACTGCCAGAGATGCCTCACATACCGGATTTGCTGGCTCTCAACTGATTGGAGTTATTCTACTCTCAGAACCCGTTTACTGTCGTCTGATTGTTCATAACCTCACATTCGGGTATGTGATCCCAGATGTGGTTGAGATCCTGGTTTAAGAAGCTGTGATTGTCTGGGTATGGCGACACACAACATTCAACACAGCAATGAAAAATCAGTGAAAGGCAGGTACCCCATGAATTCAAGGCCAATCTGGTCTACATAGTGAGGTCTTGTCTCAAATTAAAAAAAAAAAAAAAGCCATGATTCAATTAACCACACGTCACAAAAACATGGGATAACTATATTCAGAACTAGAAAAATTACTGTACTTTATATCAAAATATTAAGTTCTCATTCTACTACTATAAAGAAACTTAGAAAGTTCTGTTTAATTCTTAAGAATTTCTGACTGTTTACAACTGAAGGAATCAAAGTATGTATTCTACACATACACACACAATTTTTCTAGGAAGTCAAACCTTTCTTGCTCTACATTTGACTTCACATGGGATTAAATATCTCTGCACTTCTGACTCGTTGGATCATGTTAAACTCAGAATTTATATTTATGACAGCACAGTATATATACTCTGGGTCATGTTAAATTCAGAATTTATATTTATTACAGTACAGTGTATACTCTGGGTCATGTTAAATTCGGAATTTATTCTCAGTTATATGACACAAGTTGGCTCCTGAACAGGGATATTTCTTTGAAAGCTTTTGATTTAAAGTTCTCATCAAATTCAATTTATACCCCATAAAGACTGAGTGAATTTTAGGCACTTATATTCACTTATACTTAAAAAAAATATATCAACTGAGAACTGAGCTAAGAAATATTTATCAATGAATACATCTTATTTACTTCCAAAGTCACTATCAAGCATGCCTTCATCAGTTTGATCCAATTCTCTTTAAAAAGAAACAAGCACAAGATCCTAAAGAGCAAAGTTCACATACTGTTTTGGCTTCACTTTAATTATCCCTGTAAGTGAGGACAGACATAATAAGAAAGGCTTTAGCAGATTGAAAAAAAAAAAAAAAAAAAAAACAAAGCTTTCAAACTTCAATGTATTTCAGACACAAAACAAGAAGGTGAAGTATCCATTCCTGAATATAGGACCATTCCCTTAAAATGCAGGAGACTAGGAAGAGCCAGGCACAGGGATGAGGTGTGACTATTTTGCCAGTGAGTTTTCTTTGTCAATTTGACAGAAACTACAGTAATCTGAGAAAAGGAAAGTTCAGTTGAGAAAATGCCTCATCAGACTGGCCAGTTGGTAAATCTGTGAAGCATTTTCTTGATTAATTACAGACATGGGAGGGCCAAGTCCATCCCTGGGCAGGTGGTCTTGGGATGTTTAAGGAAGTGCGCTGAGGAGAGCAACCCAGCAAACATCACACTTCCATGGTCTCTGAGTGCCTGCCTTGGCTTCCCTCAATGACGGACTGTGATGGGGATGTGTAAACCACAGAAACCCTTTCCTCCCCAAGTTACTTGATGGTCATGATCTTTATCACAGTAATAAAAACCAAACTAGATCAATTATAACGAATTCCTCTAAGACAGCAAAACCTAATGTTAACTACACTGTGTTTTCTCAGTGAAGATAAAATCTTCCAGCAAACATGGAAAAGGAGTGCCCGGGGTGGAAGAAATCATTAAAATATTATGCCATGGAATCCTAGAATGCAAAATGAAGTCTAGAAGGATGTATTCCTGTTTTGGATTCTATGGATGAGAAACAAGTAAAAACAAAATATGCAACTGGTGGGGGGGGGCGGCAGGAAACAACAAAAACAACTAACTCCAAGTCACAGATGACAGAAGATTATCTTCTCTATAATACCTAAATTTCAAAACAATGTCATTTAATTAAAACCAGCTTTTAAAATCCGGTTTCTGACCTTGCGTTACAGCAACACTGTACTGCTTTAGAAATTCAAAAGTTCTATTTAGATAACTTATTAACTAATAGCTATACATGAGTAGTTTGATTCAGCTGTTGCCACAGGTGCTACATTATTTGTTGTCAAAAACTAACACTCCAAATTTGACAGCGCCAAGCTAAAGAGAGTCCACCTTTCACACCCCAAGAGCAGTTTAAAGTCAGCATCACACCTGTTCCTCCAAGGACAAGTTTGGCTTCCATTTATCCAGGTCTTTTTTAGTACGACTATCTGGAATTTATTGAGTAATGCGTAAAAGCCATTTGAGACAAAATTTACTTATATCAATCTTTTTCCTCACGACAGGAATTGAAAAGCTCACATCTTCACGTATTTGACCCTCTTCCTCTCAAACGAAAAGGAAGCTGAATAAACAACCTGAACACTCACTTCTGAGTAACTAAGAATTGGCTGGGCTCGTCTGTAATCCAAGTGCCAAACTACACTTTGGCCCAGGCAGATAATGATACGATCAAACTACTAAAGATTAGAAAGTACACAGTATCCGTGTCATCCGGCTTAATTTTTTTCGCCTAAGTTCTCTAGGAAATCTGGCTTCGTAAAACTAGAACAACTTGCATGCCGCACCGCTGACAAACGGCCTGAAAGTGCCCATCAACGGATACAGTGAGTATGTTTTCATCCGCTCAGCCTATAACCGAAAGCGATCTCCCAAACCCTAGGTACTACACAGTAACTGCTACTGGGTGTTTGGTCTTGAGCTTAGGCAGGGCGTGACAGACGACTCCTAGGGCATAGGCCAGTTCAGCACTCGAGACTTAATCACCCCGGTCCTATCCACTAGGGCCAATTTTAAATCAAAGCAACAACTACAAAACTCCTTCCCTGTCCATTCCATTCGTTTATTTTTATTTTTCCTCCTTTCCTCCAATGGTCCCCCTTCAAGACTTACATCTCTGATTCATAAGTCTCAGCATCAGACTAGGACGCTAAGGAGCTGATGCCTGGCGCCGAAAGGGCCGCCCGGAACCGAGAGGTC